TTCAGCAGAGCTTGGCAGGATACCTCTGCAGCACAAGGCAAGCAGAAGGAACTAATTCCTTATGGGAAATTGCCAGATTGGAGAGGATCCATCCCAGACCTGGGTTTTACCAGCTCACATGTGGAGCCAAACCAGAGTAGATTGAGCCAAACGCATTTGCAAACTGCTACTGTGAGCTGTGGCTTCTTTGCAAAGAGAGGAACGTTTCTAAGATCCAGTGACTATGACAAGTGTTTATTCTGGGAGTGATGATGGATTGATGCCATCAGGTTGGAACTGCTTAAACACAGTCGGCAGTCCCTGCCCTGCTTCCCCACCCCTCCCCACTCAAAAAACCTATGGCTTCAATGGGGATGGGGAAGGCAGGGGCAGAACACACAAGCAGAGTGAACTGGGTGATGGCAGCAAATGGCACATTAGAGCCATGGCTATTTTTGGAGGGGGGCTAGTTAGGATGGGATTGGCTTAGTATAGGGATCTCAAATAGAGCTGTGCAAAATTTGACTGGCAGTTTTGTTTCGATGCTGTTTCGACTCGTTTCAAGCTCAAAACAGCAAAATGGAAACAAAACAGAGAGCTTCAAAACAGCCTCAAAACAACATGAAGCAAGTCAAAATGTTTTGAAATTTTCAAATATTTCGAGTTTCAAAGTCAAGCTGGGCTTGCCTGCAGGGAAACAGAAACTAAAGTAAGGAGAGGGAGGGGGAAGAGAGGGGAAAGAGTGCTCTTATTATTGACTGTGTAGCTGGCCAGCGACTGTCATCCTTCCCTGAGGTCCTTTCCAATCCCAATGCTCTGGGGGAGGGATGGAAAAACTGCATAAAAGGCAGCATTGTTTGAACTGCCCTGCTTTCTGCCTTGGAGTCAGTTGAGTGAGGGTGCACCTTAACACACACACAGTGTCACCCACCCATGTCATGAGTTTTGCCTGTCAGCACCTAGAGGTGCAGGGCCCCAGAACCCAGACTCCCCCTGTACCGGTTTCCTTAACAGCTTTGTGGCCGCAGCAGGGCCTAGCCGGCCTGCAGTTTTCACCCTCCTGTGCCCCAAGACAGACACAGTCCCACAAGCACCTATGACACAAGTTTTGCCTGTCAGCAGCCAGAGGTGCAGGGCCCCAGAGCCCCTGCACCTATCTCCTTCAAGGCTGGCAGGGTTTGTGGCCTTAGGAGGGGCTAGCAAGCCTGCAGTTTTCACCCTGCTGCGCCTTAAGACACACACAGTGTCACCCATATCACCCACGTCACCAATTATCAGTGATTTGGAGGTGGGGGTGGAAAGCACACTGCCCAAATTCACTGATGACACAAAGATGTGGGGAGAAGTGGGTATACTGGAGGGGAGGACAGAATACAACTAGATCTAGACAAATTACAGAGGTGGGCGGATGAGAATAGGATGGAATTCAATGCAGACAAGTGCAAGGTGCTGCATCTAGAGAGAAGGAACCTGCAACACACCTATAGACTGGGGAACACCCTTCTCAACAATACAGTGGCTGAAAAGGATCTTGGAGTCACTGTTGACTCCAGGATGGACATGAGTCACCAATGCGAGGAAGCGGTCAGTAAGGTAACCGCACCTTGTCATGCATCCACAGATGTATCTCAAACAGGTCCAAGGAGGTGATCCTTCCCCTCTATGCAGTGCTGGTCAGGTCGCAGCTGGAGCACTGCATCCAGTTTTGGGCGCCGCACTTCAAGAAGGATGTGGCTAGCCTTGAGAGGGTCTAGAGGAGGGCCACTTGCATGATCAGGGGGCAGCAGGCCAGGCCCTAGGAAGATAGACTAAAGGGCCTGAATCTATTCAGCTTCCACAAGAGAAGAGTGAGAGGGGCTCTGGTGGCCATCTATAAACTCACCAGGGGGGACTAGAGGAAAATAGGTGAGGCTCTGTTCCCCCGGGCACCACCTGGGATAACAAGGAATAGCGGCCACAAATTGATTGAGACTAGGTTCAGGCTTGATATCAGGAGGCATTACTTTACAGTTAGGGCTGCCAGGCTCTGGAATGGGCTCCCAAGGGAGGTGGTGCTCTCCCCTACCTTGGGGGTCTTCAAGAGGAGGTTGGATAGATATCTGGCTGGGGTATTATGATCCCAGCACTTGTTCCTGCCCAGGGCAGGGGGTTGGACTTGATGATCTGTTCAGGTCCCTTCCGGCACTAGAAACTATGAGTTTTGCTTGTCCGCAGCTTGAGGTTCAGTTTCCCCCAAACCCTTGCACCTATCTCTTTGAAACCTGGCAGGCTTCGTTGCCTCAGCAGGGGCTAGCAGGTCTGCAGTTTTGACCCCACTGTGGCTTAACACATACATGTGACATGAGTTTTTTGCTTTCAAGACTTTGAGGTGAATTTTCCCTGAATTCCCTACACCTATCTCCTTGACACTTGGCAAGCTTCATGCCCTCAGAAGAGGCTACCATTCCTGCAATTTTCATCCAAATCAGGGCAGAAATGACAAAGTTATAGGCTGTTTCAAGCTTCCCCATTATAGCCTGTGGGTGAAACGTCAAAACAGGGTTGAAACAGTGAAACTGTTTTGACGAAACAAAACAGAACAGCAGTTTCGAATCGAAACAAAATTCAAAACGAAACGCTGTTCTGTTGAAACATCAAAACGCAAGTCGAAACAGAATGGTGCTGTTTTGCACAGCCCTAATGTCAAACTCATTTGGCCCCATGAGCTAGTTGAGGGTCACTGGGCCTGTCTGCAGGCCCACATGCAGCACCCACAGTGCCAGGATCAGCCTGTGAACCACATGCAGCACACGCCAGTCCCCTCCAGGGCCTACTGTGCATGTAACGTACACACAGCACAGGAGATCTGGGGCATAGGCTGTGTGCAGCACCCCACCAGACTGGCCCTGCATACTGTCTCTGGGACCAGACCAGATCAGGCTTCAGGCTATCTGTGTGTAACCCCAGGAGTTGCCCATGTCTCTTCATTCTCTGCCCCAATGTGAGATGCAGTAAACAGAAGCAATGCTGGTAACATTTCACTAGTGAGAAGGAAGGATGAACCTATCCAGAGTCCATGCCTTGTGCCACATGCAGTGCCAAGTCCAGCCCACACACAATCCCTGGGGCCAGTACTTGCTGCACATGGTTTGCAGACTGGACTCACTGCAGCACCATGAGGTGCACACTACATGTGGTGCCCCACAGGACCAGCCTTGTGTACTGGCACTGGCACAGCCTGATCCAGATTGGCCCTAGAGCCAGCACAGAGAGCCAGTCCTGTGCAGGTGCCATATGCAGGACATACCCTGGACTGACCTCCTGTGCTGCATGCCAGTGCATGCCTCATGCAGCACATGGGATTGGTTCAGAGATCCATGGGCCAGAGCATACAGCTTTCTGGACCAGATCCAGCCCATAGACCCTATGTTTGACACCCCAAACTTAATGGAAAGGAAAGGGGGATGGAACAGAGAAGGGGAGAAGAGGAGAAAAGGGGTAGACTTGGAGTGAAGGGACTGTGAAGGGAGAAGTGGGAGGGTTGGAGCACATGACTGCTCAGCCCAAAGCTGAGGAGGTCCTGTTTAACTGTAGGCTGTTTTTCCTGAATGGCCAGAGTCCTCCTCTTGTTTCTTCATCTGCTGCTACCAACTACAGCCTTGGGCTGGCTCCTCTGGGACATTGTACTCTAAGGCTGCATAGTGGGGGTGGGAGGGAAATATCCCATATGGTTGTAATGCCCCAGAAGGGGAGATGTTATCCTGTTTACTTGGCTCTTTCTGGAGGGCAGTGACCATCCACGATGCTGTCAAATTAGTGACCTGTGAGGGTGTTTTCTAAGTTGTTAACTTTGTGCGCATTCTGCTGAACTTTGTGGGGCCTGGATATGGCCTTTTGACATCAAGCACCATAGAACCACCTGCCACACAGGAGTGGGCAATTATTTTGACTGGAAGGACACTTTAGGAATTTGGGTGAGCTGTTGATTAATTAATACTAACTGACCCAGACTTGTCCGCCCTATACCCAGTGGATGGGATGGGGCTGTGGGAAGGCGAGGAACAGCATCTAGGAATGGGACAGGTGGGCAGGGGCCAGGGATGGATCATGGGGCAGTGACAGCATGGGACTGGGGCCTGGGGCAGAGCCCCAATCCACTGCCTGCAGGGCAGGAGTGTGCAGGGAGTGGATCATGGCTCTGCCCTGGGCCCCAGCCCTGCTCTGTCTCTGCTCTGGGATCCTGGCCCTTGCCCTGGCCCACCCATCCTACTTCTGGATGCCACTTCACACCAACCGATGGCCCCATTCCATCTACCCAATCGAGTGCATCCTATCTGGAGGGGTCTCAGCAGGTTTCCATGGAGACCTTGCCCACCCACTCTATCTGGCGTCCCTGGTGGTAGGTGTGGGGAGACGGATCAGGGTGCCCAGGCAGTAGGGCCAGGTCTGGGAGTGGCGGAGACACTAGCAGTAGCAGCCAGAAGGAGCCACCACTGGGGCTGCCAGGAAGCAGATTCTGGCCGTCGTGCTGCCCCTACCCTGCCATGTGCCTGATGATAGCAGGATCAGCTGCATGTCCCTTCCTGGGCTGTCCCTTGCATTTAAGCCAGATGGGGCCATGGGACCCTCCACAGGCTGGACAAAATCCCTTAGTGGGCCATATTTTATCCACCCCTACTGTAGACATATATGGCCTGGTTCCCTATATCTGTGCCGTGTGCCCTGTTTCTTACACAAATGGAAAATGGGCATGAACCACTACCACAGCTGGAAGGGGCCAGGTCCATGTTAATTGCTTTTCCCACCATAAATCCAGGCCAGCTAAAAGGAATATCTAGTGCCCCCATTAGTGATAGAAAGGGGCATGTCAAACCCTGAGTCTTAGTTACAGAGCCTGCACTCCTTGTCCAAGGGGAAGGCAGCCCCTGACGAGCTCTGAGTTGCCATGGGGCAGCTGGGTGCTCTCTCCAGGAAGCCTGGATAAAAGCCTGCCTTTAGCAAAGCCCCTTTCCTGACATGATTAAACTCTGATGTTCTTGTAGAGAATGACATCAATTATCTGCTGAAAATGGCCCTGGAGAAGATTGCCTTCCTGCCCTTTGGGTACCTTATTGACCAGTGGCGCTGGAACGTCTTCAGTGGGCGTACCTCACCAAACCGCTACAACTATGACTGGTGGTACCTGAGGTAAATGGGACCATGCTGTGTGTGTGTGTGTTTGTTGTGTGTGCATGCATGAGTGCACAAGTGTGTCCAAGCACTTTTGTGTCCAGAGGAATGTACAGTGCATGCTTATATGTGTGTTCATTTGCACATGTGTATTGTTCAGGCATCTACCTGTGTGCATGGGGTTTCTGAGTATGCATGCATATATATGTGCATGATATGTATCCAGGTTGTAGCCGTATTGGTCTTAGAGACAAAAGGAATCAGAACTCATGGTAGAGGGGCTATCTTTTATTACACCAACTAGATTTTTGCAACAACAAACAAAATCTTTTATTGCAGACTTTTGGGCACAAGCACTCTTCTCAGGCATAGGAGAAAAGATTATAAAGTTCTCCTAGGAAGAAATGAAAGTTCATATTTCATAGGAGAGTTAAAGATGTGGTAAAATCTCCTGTTTGGATCTGTTCATTTTATGCAGGTTAGGCTCAGAGAAAAGTTGGAATAGTCTGTTTACCTCAAGGTTGTTTGGTGTGTGTATGATAGGCATGCATGTATATTAGACATGCATGCATATACATGTGTGTTTGGTGAGTGTGCCATGTATGAGCACTCAGATGTGCACAAATGTGTGAATAGGACAAGCTTTGTGCTGCTGATTATTTGAAAGGTGTGCAGTGAAAACAGGCTGTGATACCCCCTGAGCTGCCCATGTATCTTCATTCTCTTCCCTGATGTGAGATGGAGTAAATAAAAGCAACACCAGTAACATTTCCTCATAGAACATAGGAGCAGGAACAAACCTGTCTGGAGAAGACAAAGCACTGCCCCAACCTCACACCGAGCCCTTTCAGGGCGGCATCACCTTTGGCCAACTTGTATGACTGCCCCAGCTCTCCTGATGCCTGGCTGGGACTGGAAGTGGAGAGACCTGTGACCAAGTCTGTGTTGCAGGATATCAGAAGACACACAAGACAGCTCATCCTTGGTCTGGGTCAGGTGGGTGGGTGGGCAGCTGATTGAACGAATGTATGTGTATGTGAATGGATAGATACATAGGTATGTATGTGATAGCCTGATATGTTGGTTGGTAGGTGGATAGACTAACAGGTTTAGGATGCCTCTATGTGCAGATAGAGCAGTGGGTAGATCTATGGGCAGATGGATAGACAGAAAGCTGGACAGCATGTGGAAGGAGAGGTGGAACTATGTGCTATGATTTCCTACCTAGATATGCATAAGCTTGTCTCCATTGTGTTCCCCTTTCCTTCCCTGTTGCCCTTCTATACTCAGCACTCATTAACCGTTGGTGTATCTGTTGCCTTCTTCCTGCCTCATGCAAATACTCATTATTCTCCCCTCACTTTCCCCCCTTTGTTTACAGAACAAAATACCAGGGAATATGTCCTCCTATTGCAAGGAATGAAACCAACTTTGATCCTGGTGCAAAGTATCATATCCCTGCCAACACACCCTACATCAGGTAGGAGAGCTGCAAGTGGCAACATTGACATTCCTGTCACAACCAGGGCACAGCATGGGCAGGGTATGCAAGGGCAGTGGGAGGCCATGGGTTATTCCTGGGGTGCAGGACAGGGTTGTGTGAAGAGCCCAGGTCTGCAAGGGCAGGGACTAAAGGACAATACAGGACTGAGCCTGTGAAATGCATGCAGCACCTGCCTCTGGCCCAAGTGCCCTCATTTCACTCCCTTCATCAAAGCAAAACCCACTGTTCAAGCTTAAAGATCAGTGGTCTCATCAGGCTGCTGAGCCAACCCTATGAGGGCTCTTTGTTGCTCAGAATGATTTGAAAAATGAGAAAATGCTGATGATAGGAAAGGGCATCACAACCCCCAGAGGTACTTTGTCGGGGGCTGGCACCTTCTCCCAGAGGCAGACAGCTGCAGTCACTCTTGGGGCCCATCTCTTAGTTTCCCATGCTGTGACACCTGCTCTCTTTGCAGATACTTTGTGAGCTTCATCCTGCAGTTCCAGTTCCACAAAGCCCTGTGCCAAGCTGCCAACCATAAAGGCCCCCTGCACACCTGTGACATCTACCAGTCCAAAGAAGCTGGAACAAAACTCAGGTGAGAGGGATAGGGAAGGGGAAGGTGCATGTGTGTGTATAGGCATCTGGGAGACAAAGGTGAACTACTCAGACCAGAGTCCCAGCTCCAGCAGTAAGAATACAAACAATCCCACTGGCAGACAGCAACCTTTCTCAGAAGCATCATCTCAACTCCCCATAAATATCCCTGGTGCAATGGTTCAACTGGGAAGTATGTGGTGATCTTACCCATTCCGGGGCCAAAGGGCTGGGATACTCTTTATTCCTATGGAAGGACTGACTGGAGAAGACTTGCTTTTAATTCAAGTGCTGGAATTATTGTTTTTAAAACCAGAGATCCCTGCTCCAGGTCCAAGCACAGGAAATGGGATGGGTGTTTATGAGAAAGAAGAAGCTTCCAGACTCTTGGACAGGGGATTGTGTGGGTGTTCTGCAAATCTGAGAGTCTAGGGGTAATGTGTTCAAAGATGCTGAAGTGATTTGGGAGCCTAAGTGCCATTTTCAGCACTGATGTAGGCATGTAGGAACTGAGTTTCACAGGAAGGCAGTAGAACTTACTCTCCTGTGAGTACCTCAGTCACCCTTGAAACTAGTATGTGGGGACTTCTGACAATGTTGCTTCAGGCATCTCAGAATATGTCTAGGCTGCCTGAGGTGGTGGTCCTTGCAGGGTAAACTCTGTCCCACCTGGGATCTGAGTGAGGCAGCAGGGTAGAGGATTCAATGCTATTTGAACCATCTGTACTGGTCCCCTGGGTCCTCAGGGAAAGATGGGCCCAGAGCAGCAACAGCACTCCATGCCTGGCAAGCCAGCATCTGGGAGCAAGGAGTCCTGAGGACAGTGTGGAGGTGACAGGCCAGTTGTGTTTGTGTGTGTTTTGAACTGATAGGCATAGGCTGCTGCCCAGAATTGGCACTGCAGTCTGTCTGTCCTGCTGCTGTGACTCACACACAGGATCCCAATGAAAGCAGGAGGCCAATGCTGGAATAGCCACTGGGTGATTATGTTTCATGGATGGGATTTTCCAAGCCACCATAGGTTGCTGTCCTGTCTTCCCCAGCACATGAAGAACTAATGCCACAGCCTGAAGTCAGGCCAGGCCCTACATTTAGGGCACAGACATATTCATCAACTATATGATCAGAAAGTATCACAAGCAATGATCTTTCCATGGTTAGGCTGCAGGGTTCAGAGCCTAATCCCCAGGTGTCTTCTCCAGTATCACCCTTTGGAGGGCTCATCTTCAGCTGTGCTCTTTCAGCCTTTGCTGAGAACCACTAGACCCTTTCCCAGCTGCTTTCTGTCTCCTCTACCCCTTCCAGATGTCAGTTCTTAAAGGGGCTTTGTCCCTAGACAATGCTACCTGTCTCAAGGACTCCCTGACCCTGAATCATAGAGAAGTAGAACTGGAAGGGAGCCCCAGAAGTCATCAAGTTTAACCACCTGCCTAAGGCAGGAACATCCCTATCCAAGCCAACCTATACAAATCCACTGTCTAACCTATTAGCAAAATTATAGTCAACCCTGACACAGCTACAAGACATAACAACCTAATCTGCCACAGGTAAAGCAAGGGAAACATGCAGCCGATATTCTGCTGCTGCACAGGTTATTAAAATATGCTCAAGAGGTCCAAGGAGGAGGGTCATTCCCTTCCCCCACCTCCCCACCCCCACTCCAGAGGAAAGCAAAAATCCCCACAGCCCATACCAATCTTATTATGGGGTAAAAATCCTTCCTGACCCCAAATATGGGTATCAGTCTGACCCTGAACAGTGGGGCAAGATGCCGCAGCCAGGAACCTCTGGGTTTAAGTCCTAGCATGAGCACTGGCAGACCCCAGTCCAAATCCCCAGCCTTGGCTGCAGCCAACACCCAATGCATCTGAGGAAGACTTCAAAAAGACCCCTGACACATGTAGCAGTGGAAGGGGGGAAATTGCTCCTGGCCCCATGTGGCAAACAGCAAAGCCCAGAATCATGGAAAATACCCATAGCAGTAGGCATAGCTAGTCCTAGATCACCCCTGGCCGTATCTACACGAGATACTGACTGTGCGTTGGCATTCAGAGGCATCACCTTTCCTTGTATGACTTGCTTTCCAAGCAAATAAGCGGAGCCCTTTGTAACAGCCACCTGGCCACTCCTTTTAATATCAGTCAAATGACAAAATCCTTAGGGTAACTTTGCAAATCTAAGCTGATTTGCTAATCAAGGGACATTGTTCATGGTGCTGCACATGATATCAAATGGAAATGGGGCCTGTCCCAACGCAGTTACAAAGTGAGAGCTGAATGCAGAGTGGAGGGTGTCATCTTCCTAGCAGCATAGGACCATTGGTATCCAGAGGGATCACTGTCTTATAATTGAAGCAGTGATCAATTTAACCATTAGCCAATGCTTGAGTGGAGGGAGTCCTTGAACTCTTCTGTAGTGCCATCCATTGTGATGCCTAGTATGGACAGTGGCCATGAGAATTGAGTGCTTGTCCTTTGCTCCGCAAAGCTCCAAGGTCTGTGGTTCTTGCCCTGCCCCTCTCAGTGTCTCACAGTGGCATTTCTTATTCTGGTTCTCTGCAGTGAAATGCTGAAAGTTGGTTCTTCCAAGCCATGGCAAGAAATCCTGTTCAGTATGACTGGCACCAGTAGGATGGATGCTGGGGCACTGTTGGAGTACTTCAAACCTGTGACAGAATGGCTGGAGCAACAGAACAACAAGACCCAGGAAACCCTGGGCTGGCCAGACTTTGAGTGGCGCCCACCTGTTCCTGAGGGCTACCCTGAGGGCATTGGTAAAGCTCCCCCGCTGTCTCTTTGCCCCAGAGCTGGGTCTGGGGTGGCTGGAAGGGGTGCAGAGACAGATGGAGTGTGACATTGTTAATCCATGTACACATGCAATATCTGCTGGTGCATGGTGTGCTGGGATAGGGAGAAAGAATGCAGCATAGACTGGTCATCAGCTCAGGTCTAGAGATCACTGTGCAATCATGTTTCGCAAGGTACTTCACCTCACTATTAATCATGTGCCATGGGCCACACACAGCTGAAGAGACCTATGGTCTATTCTGTTACAGTAATCCCTGTCCTCCTGATGTAACAGATCATCTTCCCTGTCCTGTCTCTTGATTGGCTGATTGGGAGGGTCTAGAATCCAGTACTTGTCCTGTTGACACCTTGCCCTGTCCAAATGAATAAGGACAGATGCTCCACCATCTCCCACCTGCCTGCTGGCTTCTCCTATCACTTCTCTCTCAGGGGCCACCAGGACAGGAATGCAGATATTTCCCAGGTCTCCATCACATCCCCAGGCTGTGCCTCCAGTGCTGGGAAGGGCTCAGCCATGGAGTTTCCAAAGAGGGGTTGCTCTCTAGAGGGGAAAGTTTTCTTGCCTGTCTCACCATTGTGTTTTCACCCCCATCTCTTCCTAGATAAAATAGCGGATGAAGCACAAGCTAAAGAATTCTTGGCAGAGTACAACCGAACAGCTGAAGTGGTGTGGAATGCCTACACCGAAGCATCCTGGACATACAACACCAACATCACTGAGCACAATAAGCAGATCATGGTATGAAAACAAGCTATAGGCAATAGTCTGACAGTGAAGGCAAAGGCAGGCAGACAACACAGAAAACTAGAGCAGCCTTTGCTTCTGCCAGGGAGCTTCATCCACATGTCAGGAGATACCCTCCTCTAGTATCCTTGCCCATGGCCAAGAGACATTCCTAACTGCTCCTTGTTTACAGATTAGACTTGGTCCCTGGCCAGTCATGGGAAAGAAATGCCTTAGTTGCCCATTGCATGCTGCAGCATCCTTAACAGTGACCTGTGTCTGATGGAGCCCCATGGGGCACTTCCTCTGCTATCCCCTCTTGGTCTTGCAGCTGGAAAAAAACCTGTTGATGTCCAATCACACCCTGCAGTATGGCATGAAGGCCCGGCAGTTCGACTACTCTGACTTTCAGGACCAGAGCGTGAAGCGCATCCTTAAGAAGCTGAGCGACATTGAGAGGGCTGCATTGCCCAAGAATGAGCTGGAGGAGGTGAGCAGGATTGGCAAGAGAGTGCTCTGAAAGCACAGCCAAACATGTCCACCCAAAGGCCCTTTCAGGAGCCTATCATCTACTCCTGACTTGTGTAACATGGGGCAGATTGTAGCTGCCAACCTGGTTCATGGGGAGCCCCTGGAGAGAGTACACTAACTGCTTTCCAAACAGAGGTGAACACCATTTCTGCCTCTAAGGAAGCACTTTTCCAAAGACTATAAATCCGAACATCCAGGCACACTGGGGCCTGGATTCTCCCATAGCACCCTCCTATGAAGAGTGAGGGGTCCTCTAGGCTGCTTTGCGAAGTGCTCCAAGTTGCATTTGTCCTCTATTTTAGGCTGTGCCTGGGCCCTGCATTGATGAGAGAGCTGAAGAAGGAATTGAAGAAGGATGTAGAGACAGGTTGATCCCAACTTGCTGTTGAGATCACAGGGTTCCAGCTGAGATCAAAAAATGGGCCCCAGCTTGTATTTTGTGTGATCTGAGATCGTGTGTTTTTCACCATCCAGATAGTGATTGCACAAAGTGTCCTTCCTTCTGTCTCGATCTCTTTCTATGAATGATATGGCGGTACAAATATAATGCAGCCATAATCATTTCTACCCATCAGCCTGGAGCCTTGGAAGGATTGGGGCTTGTGGGCTCTGGAAGGCTCAGGAAAAAAGCACCTGCCCCTATTAAAATGCAAATTATTTTCACTCGCTGTAAAGAAAATTTAAAAAGTAACAGTGAGCAAGTCAATGCTCAGTATAGAAGTACTTCTCTCAGCTCCCAAGCATGTCAATGTGAAAATCTCATTGTAAAGAGATCCAGGATCTTCTGTTCTGATACAGTCAACAAATGGTTAATAAAACAGTGAGAGTACTGTAATGAATACAGAGGAGTGGGGCGGGGGGAATGCATCTACCACCATTTCTGTATGGAGGTGCCACTGCCAGCTGTATTTCATTGGATCTATTCTGTTGGCACCTCATGAAGATTTCTCCTTAACCCCCATATGGCTGGGTCGGTGCTGTAGGTGCACTTGCTCTGAGGTATGTGAGGGTTACTGGCACTCTGCAAGGTAGGAATTGAGGCCCATAACTCTGTCTGTGACTCATTTATTGAGTCTGGATAAGCTTCTTCCGTCTGTGCCTCAGCCACATCCACATTCACTTCAAGACACACACAGGTCTGCATTTTGGGCAGTGGTGAGACTGAACTCATTTGTGTCCCTAGAGCGTTTGGAGTTCTTGCATGGCAGGCACTAGAGCAGGGTAGCTGGCACCAGTCAGTGGGCAGTGACGTATTCCCATCTTCTACCATGCAAGCAGGAATCCTTGTCTAACGCGATCCAATTTCTTTCTCAGTACAACCAACTTCTCTCGGACATGGAGACCACATACAGCATAGCCAAGGTCTGCAAAGATAATGACAAGTGCTATCCACTGGATCCTGGTAAGTTGTAGAAAAGTCTCCGGAGGACTTTTCTCTGAGTTCTTTGGAGATGCCCTAGAAAAGAAGGAACCTCCACCTATAGGGCAGCAAACTGGGAGGGAAGTTCATGAATGTTTTTAGAGGCCCATGTAATTCTGATGTTAAACTCTGATGTTTAGCTCCAAAGCCTAAAACCCAGAGGAGCCTAGGACCAAGTCAGGCCTGGCACCATTTGCCACTGCCTACTTTGTTGCCATGTGAGAACTGGCATGTCCCCTGCTGGATGAGGTTCTACTCCTGAGCATGTGAAACATAGATGACCATAGAAAACACAGAGGAAACTATGACCAGTGATGGTTCTCCCAGGAGGATTTTAGGAGTAGGAGACCTGGTGAAGAAAAGCAGAGGGAGAACTTTGTTGGGGAACAATCATCTCACCAAGTGTGTTATGGGCATGTGGAGTGGGTTACGGTGGAAGGATTCTCAGAAAGGAGCCTGGGAAGGGGATGAGCCTTGGGAGCTGTGCTCTTGTGCTAAGCTACGGTAGGGGGGGAAGGGAGATCTTCAGGCCTCTCCAGGGTCTGTCCAACAGTGGGAAGGTACACAGCAGGGAGACTGTGAGTTTCATTTTTTTTTCCCTTTGTAGACCTTACCAACATCCTCGCCACCTCAAGGGATTATGATGAGCTCCTCTTCGCCTGGAAGGGCTGGCGGGATGCCTCTGGGAATCAAATCAGAACCAAATACAAGAGATATGTGGAGCTAAGCAACAAGGCAGCCAGACTCAATGGTCAGCTTCCCATTGTGGTGCCTGCTTCTCCAGTGGAAGATGGCCCTCACAGGCCTAGCTGCTCTCAGTCATTCTGCTTCCCTACTCTCCCACAGCCACAGGCCACCAGCTCCCTGCACTCACTCATGAATCCCTTACTCAGACAAAACTCTCTGAAGTCTGACAGATCTATGGGGACTCAGCACTGCTCAGGATTTGGGCCTCAAACAAGATCTAGAAGTTTGATCCTGCTCCAATAGAGATTAATGGCAAATGGATCACAGGGGCTTATTGAAAACGGGGTGCCGAGTGCCATGCAAGCCCCATTGACTTCACTGGGTCCGCAGTGCTTCCTGGAGGGGCTCAGCACCTCCCAGAGTCAGGGGCTGAGTCAGGACTTCAGGGTTTGTTGTGTTATCTTGTGAAAGATCCTTGGCAGCTGCTGCTCTTTCTGCACCTCTGGTATCCAAGTGATGTGAAGGGACCTCCACCCAGTAACGCCCTAACAATTTTTTACTAGCAATGTCCCCATCACTAAAAAATAAGGCACAATAGAGGATGAGGAAAGCAGGCACCTTACCCTGGAGGCCAAGTAATTTCAGACTCTGGAGAAGTGTGGCAATCCCTGAAACATGGCTGCTTTTGCAAAGCTCAGGAAGAGGGTCCTGGGCCTTCCTCAGCCTGAGGAGAGCTCCCTAGCCATCAGGCTCTAGCCAGGCTGGGATATACACCAACAGTTGGTCCTCAGAGCATATGGATCTGTTATAGGGGAGGATTCTTGAGGTAGCTTCCTTGGCTCAAGGGACATCAGCTTGTGTTTGTAGTTCTGGAATTGACATGTTCAGTCCCTGGTGACAACTCCCAACAGTGGTTTTCAAGTAGGATGGCCATCTTAGAGGACATTCTGGTTTTCTGCTATTCTGTCCTCTATTGATACAAAACCCAATGCCTTTATGACATAAAGGCATCTGGTTTCATATCAATAGAGCCACCCTATTCTCAAGCAGGATTATGTGAAAGATTTTCAAGGGTGCCACAGAGCCAGCAGTGCTGCTGTGGCCAGTTTAAGCTGCCCAGCATGACTTTGTTTCCAGGAGGGGCATGCTGGGTGGACTGGGAAGCAGCTGCAGCAGGACCCCCTCTCTTGCAGCCTTTCCTGGTCCACCCCACATGCCCCCTCCTGGTAAGAGAAGTGTTGGTGACTGGAGCACGAGTCCTAGGCACCAAACATGGTAAGGATGCTGGAATGGAGGTAGACAGTACCTAAGTTGGCAGCAGGGGTCTGCGAGTGGCATGGGCTCACCCAGAGACCCAGATGAATCTGCCTGGCCAGAGTCAAGGATCCCCTTGCTGCCTGGCCCCTCCTGCACTTCTCTCCCCTCTACCCCCAATATTACTGTGAGGCAACAGCTACTTTGTCAACCCTTTCACAGCACAGCCAAATGAAGGCTTTTTCAACCACAATCTATATGCAGATGAGACCTGCCTATATGGCACCTGTGAAAGGGTTAATGGAGGAGAGGGTGAGTGAGGCTGACATGGGGACTTCACATCAGGTTCCCACTGTAAGCCTGTAGCCCGTGGATGAGCCCAGGCTGTTGCAGGGTAAGACTGTACCTGGACCTTCCACCCCTCCTTCCCCTACTCAGCACAACTCTGTCTCTGCCCCACATATGTGTCCAGGATGCAGAAATAGCTAGTTATGCCCCTGGAACCCAACTGGTGTTGGGTGCCCCTGGTTCCCAACTGGGTGTTGTCAAATTCAGAAGAGCTATGGAGGGGTGTCTTAGGTCTGAAAAAGATAGGAACCACTTATTCAGTGCTGGCTATTCTCAGCGGCTGATAGTAATGCTGCTGGTGTGCTTGGTGGGCTGAGACTACGAACTTTGACAAAGGCAAGTCAGGGTGGCAATGTGGGATGTGGACATTAGGGCTTTGCCTGGTTACAGTGGGAAAAGCAGACAAATAAGGAAGAAGAGTTTGGGACCAGCCACAATGGTCCAAGGGCAGGGCATGATCAGGAACCTCTCATCCCGCAAATGAGGTAGCAGAGATGTGCCCCCCGCCCCAATCAGGCAGTTCCAACGGCTTCTGTTCTCATCCTGCCTTTGGACAGGTCATGCAGACAATGGTGCCTTCTGGAGATCCCTCTATGAAACACCAACCTTTGAAGAGGACCTAGAGAAGCTCTACCTGCAAATGCAGCCCCTGTACCTCAACCTGCATGCCTATGTGCGCCGAGCCCTCTACAACAAATATGGGAAAGAGTACATCAACTTGAAGGGCCCCATCCCAGCCCACCTGCTAGGTAAGGCCCTGCTGAGCATGGATGGGGTTTCTCTCTGTTGGGAAATGGCATTCCCTAGAGGGCACAGATGTCTTAAAGGCATCCATTCCCTGAACCTCAGACCACTGGTTATGGGACAGAGCATTCCCCAAAGCTCAGTGCCACAGTTGGGCCCAGCTTGTACAAAGTGCCAAGGTCAATGGGAGAGTGCCAGGTGCTGAGCACTTCAGGAAATGCAGTCCTGGTATCCTGACTTTGTGTGAACATTATAGCCTAAGCCATGTACCCACAACCACAAAGGGAGTCAGTGGCAGGTCCCAAAGATGGACCTTGGGGTCCTGATTTGTGGTCACCTGCTTTAAGTGATAGGATGTTGGATTCTTGAAGCCAAACCAAAGCCTGGTGGAAGCCAGTACAGCTCTATTACTGCTGATTCCAGGTCCTTTGCTGTAGGGGCTGAGCACTCAAAAAACAATGGCCAGAACCTCCCAGCACCCTAGTGAGAGAGAGTATTGCCATGCTCCCTCCTTGCAGAGATGGAGAACAGAGGAACAATAAGATTGAGTGACCTGCCCAGGGTCACACACAGTCTGTGGCAGAGCAGGAAACTTAATCCAGGTCCCCTTGGCAAGTGCCCTAATCCCAGTGCTCTGACCGATTAGACCCTCCATCCTCTCACTTGCGCAAGTGCAGTTACATTGGTTTATGCCAAATCTTCATTGAACTGTGTTGTACAGCAGCGGAGCTTTGCAGTCACATTATGTTGGGAACGGGGCCATGTTTGGGGCATGTGGAGGGACTCAGACTGGGAGGTAGGAGGGTCACTAGGGAGGGGCAGAAATCGCGCTGTCTTGGTGGAGGGCAAAGCCTTGACAGAAGCCCTTAGGCTTCTTCACAAATAGCCAAGGAAGGTGATGTTCTGGCTTATTAAAGGATTTGGAATAACCATTTGCTTTTGTCCCTTTCTCTTTTTCTCCTTTTTTCTATGATTCTCTGCCCTTCCTGGGTTCTCTAGGAAACATGTGGGCCCAGTCATGGTCTGCCATTTTTGATCTGGTGACACCTTTCCCTAGTGCCACCAAAGTGGATGCCACCCCAGCCATGAAAAGCCAGGTTAGTGAGCCTGCACCATTTAATGCTTTTTCCTTTCTATAGGATGCCCACCACCCTTCTTCTCTAAACCAGCCCAGGACTCAGTGTGCTCTCTGCTCACTAGACCCCACGCTTCTCACACTGACCCAAATCCAAACCGGAAATCAATGGGACACCCTTTTAAGCTATAGAGACAGGATCTTGCAGAGAAGTTGAGTTCTTCTACTAATTCATCCTAATAATCAGGCCATGTGGATCCTTCTAGGTCCAGCCTAGAGGTAGAACAGACTTTAATGGTCAGTGTTAGGCACAAGCTCGGAGCCCCTCATGGTTCGTGTCACTTGCAGCTTCCTAGGCAGCTTCACAGATTGCAGTCTCAGGGAAGTCCCTGAGCCCACAATAGCTATCTTGCATTTTCTGCTCACCTCCCACAGCCAGAATATACTCTTCCCTCACACCTTCCCCCACAGGATAAGTCTGTGCACTGACATCCTCTTCCCCATCACCTCTGGTCACTATCAGAGCTCAGCCCCAGCTCTGCAGCAAGCCCTTTCCAAAACGTATTCCCTTTGCTTACTCACTTCTGCCCTCCCCTTCGCTCACTGTTCTGAGGGCCAGATCCTGCTCCCATACAATAGGAACTTTGCCCCAAGGGGATCAGGATCACAGCCTAAGCTCCAGAGTCAAGAAGTGGAGCTGTGATACCAGCTCCGGCTTCCTGCCATTCATGCGATTGCCAAAGCCCTTGTGTTTTCTCCCACTCTCATGTATGGTCTTCACTGTCTGTGCAGAACTGGACCCCCAAGAGGATGTTTCAGGAGTCAGACAATTTCTTCACCTCTCTGGGCTTGATCCCCATGCCCCAGGAATTCTGGAACAAGTCCATGATTGAGAAGCCATCGGATGGGCGGGAAGTGGTGTGCCATGCCTCAGCCTGGGACTTCTACAACCGCAAGGACTTCAGGTGCCCCTGGGGAGCCAGGGAAAGGGCTGGGAGGTACCGTGCCCTTCAGGAGAGTTGGAATTGAGCAAAGCAGAGGAATCTAGCTAGAGCCTTGGCCAAAAGGCCTGCTGCTGTTGCAACTCCCATTCCCTGGAGTCTGGCACCAGTGCCCACAATATTGCACTCAATTTGGCATTGTTGCTAGTACCCAGATGGCTGTCATACTGGTTTGTGACTAGCTAGGTCCCCTCAAGCATCAGTGGAACTCCTGGGTGTGCCCAGAAGACTCCCAGCAGCTGCTTGACCTGCAGGCTTTTTGCCTACTGCTGTCTGGCACATACCTGAAGCTTTGCCTGTTTGCCAAATCCAGCACCAGGGCCGGGTTGGCCCTCCCTGCCCAGAGATGGAGCAGGGTAAGGAGCAGTGTCATAGCCTTGGTCCAGGGCAGCAGGCAGGTGCAGCTCATCACTGCCTGCAAAAGGATCTGAGCAGAGCACCAGAAGAGCCAGAGAGAAACTGTGCACTGCAGCACAGGGCTGTCAGCCCAGCATGTCTGCAGGACCATAGAGGAACTCTGCTTCAGCCCCTGGGATAGGGATACTGATGTGGGAAATGACTCATTGTGTGACTACACGTGCGTGAGAAAGAGTCTAGGTATAGCACTCCTTCTCCACCCCCATATCTTCTATCTGTCTCTGTCTGTCCTCGCCCTTGTCTCATGCTAGCTGTTGACCTTTGTGTTCTAGGATTAAGCAGTGTACGGTGGTGAACATGGATGACCTGATCACTGTGCACCATGAGATGGGCCACGTCCAGTACTTCCTGCAGTACAAGGACCAGCCCATATCTTTCCGTGATGGAGCCAACCCTGGCTTCCATGAGGCCATTGGGGATGTCATGGCCCTGTCAGTCTCCACCCCTAAGCACCTGCACAGCATCAACCTTCTTCCTCAGGTTGAGGATAATATGGGTGAGTTCAGTCAAACCCATGACCACTCCATAGGTCTCCCATGGACTCAGCAAGCTAAGGCAGCCATGGGAGTCAGGGCAATGCTGGAAGTCATGGCATATAAACTGTCTACTTGGAATGGGCTGCCTCACATCCTCCACATACCCTTGCCAGACAATGGAGCAGCTCAGTAACATGGAGGTATCTGGTCATCTCCCCTCCACGATGGGGGCAAGTGGGATGTTCAGGCAGGAAGATTACGACCAGGAAGTACAGGCACACCTCTACTCTTGGCTGCTTCCTCTCTCTGACCCTTTGATGTTCATCAGAGACTGAAGGAGTGTATGGACCACCCTGGTTCTGAGAACAAAGCTGGGGGGGAGGTGTTAGGCACACAGTGTGTTACACTGTGTTGCAGCAATGCTGGGTCCTGCAATGTCTTGCAGGACCCCTCCTAAGTTCTCCACAGGTCTATGCAGTGGCATTGCTACCAGGCCGTTGACTGGAATGAGTACTGCCTTAACAACTTCCCATCCTCTCTCCCACTCCACAGAGAGTGACATCAATTACCTGATGAGCATTGCCTTGGACAAGATTGCCTTTGTGCCTTTTGGCTACCTTATGGACCAGTGGAGGTGGAAGGTGTTTGACGGGCGGATAAAGGAAGATGAATATAACCAACAGTGGTGGAACCTCAGGTCCTCCTTGGGCTTCATCAGCTGGAGGGGTTGCAGAAAACTGAACTCCTGGACAGCACATAGCTATTCTTGTCTGAGGGCAGGGACTTCACTCTAACCCATGGCCATGCCCTGGCCTGGATAACCCCTCCCCATATATGTGAATGGTCCCTCCTTCCAGTGGGATATGATAGTGCATGACACTCCTTCCCATTTCTTGCTGCAGGCCCACAGCCCTGTACTCTACCTGATCAGCCTCCAGGAGACTGACTAAATCTCCACCTGCTGCCAGGCCACTTCATCCCACCACTGGCCCTGGTCTATTCTAGCTGCTGCCCTCTCCAGTCCTCCTGCCCCAAATGCCCCCTATCCCAGTTACACTAAGCCTCTTGCTTCCTTTTTCTTTCTGGACAGAGGTTCCTAAGCCTCACTCTTCTCTTTGTCCTCTGCAGGTTGAAATACCAGGGGTTGTGCCCACCTGTGCCCAGGTCAGAAGCTGATTTTGATCCTGGTGCCAAGTTCCACATCCCTGCCAATGTGCCGTATGTCAGGTAAGGTACCATGCAAGTCAGCACCCCGTCCTCCACACGGAGCCAAGTAAGAGTGTGTTAAGTCAATCTGTAGGTAGCCCAGGACCTGAGAGGGGTGGGGAACAGTGACCAAGGAAAGGGGCTGACAGTGTGGGACAGGCCTAGGAAGTGTGTATGCACCCCCAGTTTGTGGACCGGACATGGGCTCATTGGTCCTCACCTAATGGGGATTCACCAGGCCTCTGGGCTGCAGTTTCACCACAGTCAAGCCATAAAAACTGTGGGCACCAGAAATGTTCATGCTTAAATGTCACCCTAATGGATAACAATCCCCCTGAGCTGCAGGATCATGGGCAACCTATAAACTTCTGCGGGGAAGGGGGATGCTACAGAGCAATTTATAGTGAGTCATATGCTGGCACAAGCTGTTTGCAAAGAGAGCACCCTGGGGAGGTGATGGGCCATGGCCCCTTAGGTGTGTCCAGTAATAAATATTGGATCCCTTGCATCACTTAAGTCATGGTCCTGAGCAGGGCCAACAGGACAACCAACCTTGGTGCTGACACCTGGGGAATTTTCAGAGCAGAAAGTGTGAGCCGCTAGAATGCCTCCTCCACAACAAGGGGGTGAGAAAACTCATAGCCCCTGAAGATCAGGCTCAGAAATGGACATGCAGCACTCAGAACTTACCCTATGCAGCTCTGGCTGTAGGGGGGCTCCTCTCTGCTCGCAGATACTTCTTGGATGAGTGACTCATGGAAAGTCTGGTGCTGCAGTGTTGTGTGTTCAGGGCTGTATTAACAGCATTGCCAGCGCTCAGTTATTGATGATGTGCACCCTGTAAGGCTGTAGGTCACAATGTGACACTTTGCGCCAAGCCTACATTGTTCCTTACATTGTTGGGCATTCAGCTCCCCCTGTGGCTTCTGCTGGACTGCAGCTCTGCATGTGTCTGTGCACATCCATGTAGCCACACTCTCTGGCCCAACTGAAGACTGATGTGGATGTGGATGTCTGCTCCCCTGGCAACTCAGAGCAAACTGCACATCTGTGAACAGGCTATTGCTCCACCTGACCTGGAAACACCAGAGGTGGCCTATCTATGCAGCCCAGTCCCACTTACATCTCTCTGATGCATTTGCAGGTACTTTGTCAGCTTTGTGATTCAGTTCCAGTTCCACGAAGCCCTCTGCAAAGCAGCTGGACACATTGGCCCCTTGTACAAGTGTGACATCTACAAGTCCAAGGAGGCAGGGACCCTCCTGGGGTGAGTATGCCAGCAGGGAGAAATGTGGGCCACTTCCAATGAGAGGCCACTTCCCAAGGGGTCTCCAGCCATTTCAGCTCCATACTCCAGCTTTCACAACTCTTTGCTAACCCCTGAGAGCTTTGCACTTGTATGATGGGAGGGTAGGCAACTGAGGAGCCAGATGATTAAGTTCTATTCCCAGATCCCCCAGTGACTGCCTGGGAAAGTGACTGTGGTCAGGATTTTCAGACCTGTTCAAGCACCTGACTCCAATGGATTTCAGCAGGAGCTGGGAGCCTGCACACCTTGGAGGGGTTGGGCTTTCTGCAGCCTAGCCCTGAGCAGGTGCAGTATTAAATGTTGATCATGTGCTTGAGAGCCAAGTGCTGCTCCTGGCAGGCAATGATCTGCCCTGAGCTCCTGCCCACCCCTACTCCAGTTACTGACATGGGGAGCCTTAATGTGGCCACTGGAGCCTGGGTGGCTTTGGGCACCACTGCTTAGGTTCTGTCCTTCACCTGGTCCTCCTTCCCTGCCACGTGGTGGAGTTGAGGTGGAGGAGAGAGGGTCTCACAAGTGCCTCAGGGGAAGGGCAGGAGCTGCCTGCCCACCCTGAGTTAGTGCCAGTTGCTGTCACAGAGGAGGCAGCCCTGTCTGCACACATGGGGCAGGTGGGTTGCAACACTGAAAGCTGCCACTAGATGGCAAGTTGGCTTCTGTAAGCACACAGGCTTCTGTTTAAGGAGGTACCCCAAATTCCCTTTTTGCTGGTATCTAGATCTGCCTGTGGGGGCTGAGGGATGAGAAGGACTAAGGGGGCTTTCCCTGAGTTATAGCTCCATGTTCACACCACCTGAAGCCTGTTAGCCAGACTGCCTACCAGGGAATCAGCACCTACACTGCACTTTCCAGGGAATCAGCTGGTACCCCAGACCAAACCCCACATCCGCCTGCCTGCACCCAGCCTTCATCCCCCTGCAGTAGGCTTTTCCTGTGTGTCATCATGGTACCCTCTGGAGAAGGCCCTTGGCACAGCCCAGCACTGAACAGCAGGGGCCAGAGCAGACTCCAAGGGCCACTAGCAAGTGCAAGTACCTCTGGGCAGAGCCTGCTGCCGCAGGGCCTGATGGAGCCGCTTCTGCTTTCACAGGAATGCCCTGAAGCTGGGCTTTAGCAAACCCTGGCCAGAGGCCATGCAGCTTATCACGGGGCAGCCCAACATGTCTGCAGATGCCCTGATGATGTATTTCGAGCCGCTGATGACCTGGCTGGTGGATGCGAACAAGAAGAATGGGGACATTCTGGGCTGGTCTGATTATGACTGGACACCATATACAGGTACTCCCAGCCCCAGCGAGAGGGCTGAGCACCTCTCTCCCACCGGACACAGGGAGCGGGGGTCACATCTGGGGGGCTCAGTCTTGTGGGCAGATCCACTGCCTCAAACTGAATGGGCTGCCACTGTTCTGTCTTCTTCCTTGGGGAGCAGGAAGTGAGGGAGAAGCTGGTGCTGCCACTCCTTGTGTGAATTGCTTTCTCCTAAGCTGTCTTTACAACACCCACCCATAGCCAGAGCTGATGCCCCGAGAGCCATCCAGTCCAAAGGCAGGTGGGAATGAAGCCCTGGAGCCCCTGGAAGTGGCATCACCTCCTTAGATTAGGGCAGAGTATAGGGGTGGGGTTTCTGCAAGGGGCATCCTGGGCCAGTGCAGCTGACTCTTTTCTCCATCCAGTAGCCCACCCCCACCTCCATCTCAATCCTTCCCCAGGGTTTGGGGAGGGTGGGAAGGGGAATCCATGCATCCCCATCAGGACAGCAACAGGCCAGAGCAGAAGTGCCTGCAGCTATGGACATGGGTGGCCAGGAGCATGCTTGCATTACCAGCTCATAGCACTGCAGGCTGCCTCACTTGGCTCTGGAAGGGATAATGTGTTGCAAAGGCTCCTCCTGTACAGGAAGACATGCTCCTGGCAAACCCCTTAGCTACATATTTCCCAATCCTCCAGAGGCTTGTTTTAAAACATTCATTGCTCAGGTGCCCAAGCTATGTGAGGGACCCAGCTGTCTGTCCTGTCTTGGGGCATGTATCTGCTGTATCGCTCCATCCCCCAGTCAAGCACCCCCTATGTGTGACTGCCAACTCCATTCGCCCAAGGCAGGTCTGACCACCGCACATGGATATACCTGCCAGTCAAATGACTTCGAAAGCCCATTTCCTTCTTCTTCCTCCCTTAGCTCGAACAGACTCGACAATCAATTTTCTGGGGATGTCTCTGGATCGCAATCAAGCCACTGCTGGCCAGTGGGTCCTGCTTGTTCTGGGACTGGTGCTGCTTCTGTCCACCATTGTCCTTGGAGTCAAATGCTACTCTGCAAGGCGGACGGCCTACAAATCCAGCTCAGAAATGGAACTGAAATAAGTGATTCACCTTCCCATTTCCCTGCTGTGTGTGCCAGGTGCATGTGTGTCTATACACATGCGTGAGTACTAACGTGTGTATGTGTGCAAAGGGCATGTGTGTGCAGTGTGTACACATTAGCCTGCAGCCTCCATGTGTGTGCACACACACAAGGGCCTGGAGCGTGAATGCAAAGTTCATATGGGTACCTGTGTGAGCCTACTGTGTGTGTATGTGTATGGCCTATGCACTTACATGAGCCTTACATATATGAGTGTGTGTGTGCGTGTGTGTGTGTGCTTGAGAGAGAAAGAGAGAGAGAGAGTTCTGCATTATGCAAAGTGTGTGTGTGTGTATGTGTGCGCACATGTGCCCACACATGGGCCTGGTTCAGGTGGAACATGTTCACTTGCCTCATGGGCAGCTGAGGCAAGAGTGCCAACAGGTGCATAGGACTTTTTCTTCCAATCAGGTCAAAACTCTTTGACTATGCAAGAGCCAAGTGAAAGGTAATTATTTATTCATAAATGTCTGGAGTCCAGGAGGAAAATTTACTTGAGATGACAAGCGGGGTCATGGGGTTTCAGCTCAACCTCCAGCTGATTGGCCAGTCCTAATCAATGTTGCATCAGTGAATTCCCTAATAATCCTAAAGGTGTTTGGGCTGGGGAGGGGGCTCAGGCAGGATCCCAGGTGCCACCTCTGCAGCTCTGATGGTGGGGACCCAGAGGCCCATGTTGGCAGTGGGGTGTGTTCAATGCAAAGGGAGCTGTTTGCTTCCTGACAGTTTTTCTCCTCCCAGCACAGCCACTGCTGACTGTTTGCTTGTATGGAAGAAAATAAAAAGTGTCATGTTTTCTCCCAGGGCCCTGTGGTTGTTATTGCTGGAGGGAAGCATGGGAGCAAGTTGGGGTGCCCAGTGGCCACAGAGCTGATTACAAAAAACTGCACATAATGCAATAAAGCCAAGTGTCCAGCTCACCACACCCCTGCGCCATACCCACAACTGTCATCTGGGACTTCCCATCTCAAGCCTTCCCTCTCATCCCTTCTATTCATGCCCCCACCCACAGAGTAGACTTCCCCACTTCAACAATGCATTGAAGTCTGTGTCTAACTTCAACTCCCAAGTCAATGGATAGATTACTCGCATGCCTCAAGTAAAGCTGGCAGGGCCAGGGCAGCAGGCTAGCCAAAGTGCCACAAGCTGACCTTAGTTACCTGACTCGGCCTGTTTGCCAGGAGCCTGATTTACCCCCACTGGCCCCAGCTGCCTGATGGGTGTGTCTGCCTACTTTGAGCAGCCTCCCTTTTAGTGCCTAGTAGGTTGTTCAACAGAACAGATACCTTCTTCCTGGGCTGCTGACTTCCTGTTTCTGATTTCCTTGGTTGGTTCCTTGTTTCTTGTGCCCTGGGTCCTGTTTCCTGACTTCATCTGGGTGCCTGCCTGCCTGTTCCTGGATCCAGACTGCACTCCAGTGCTCCCAGGCTGCCTAGCCAGCTTCTTGACTCCCTCTGGTTCGTGTTCCATGTCCTTCAAGCTCCTGGCTTGTGGCTTAGCTAGGTGATCACATCCATCCTGATCCCATACAGTTGTAACTGCCTTCTCCAGACCCCCTGGCTAGTGATGCAGGGCTGGATCCCTGCACCTGTTTCTAACACCCACTCCTTTGCCTATGGTTTTACCCAGGGGGACTGGCTATGTCCCAGTCCCTTACAGACTTCGGCCTCATGACTCACTTGCTGCGAATCCCCTGACTCGCAGTTCTAGTCTAGACCCTTGCTTCCCTGACCTTGCCTGTTCCTGATTCCCTGGACTGGGACCTCTTAGACTCAAGCCCTGGTCACTTGCACCCATTCATGCCCCTGGCAAAAGCATATGCTCCTGTGCTGTGCTGTGCTGTGCTGTGCTGTGCTGTGCTGTGCTGAACTGGGGTTGTGTTCCTTCTCACTTTCATCCCAAAATTTCCTTCTGGGTCTTCAGCATGGGTTGGTTGTGCTGGCTCAGGCTACCTGGCCTGCCAGCCAGTGTGAAAGTTTCATAGTTTCATAGTTTCATAGATTTAGGGTCGGAAGGGACCTAGTAGATCTTCTAGCCCGACCCCCCGCCAGGGCGGGAGAACAACAAAAACCCCAAAAACAAGAAACGGGACTCAAATGAGTCCAGCCAGGTAGGCATCCAGCCTCTTCTTAAAGACCCCCAGGGTAGGGGCCAGCACCACTTCCCTTGGAAGTTGGTTCCAGCTCCTAGCCGCCCTAAC